AATGTCTTTTAAGTGTTGTTAAAAGGAATGGCAATGTTACAAAGTGGTATATGTTTTAATGTTCACACTTTTTATAAATTTATTGCAAGAACCAAAATTGGAATACATGAAATATACAATGAAATATGAAAATAAATTTAGAAATCACTTTCTTTTTTTGTTTGCATTTTCCATACTGTCCCAACTTTTTCTGATGGTTTGGGGTTGTAGGTATTAGTCATCAAAATTAGGCTTTTTCTTACAAACTTTTACATTTTTGATGTTCCACTACCAGATATTTAGAATATCTTTTAATACCTCTTACTAACATCTTATTAAAGAGCAGTTTAAATCATTTCCCAAACAACGGCTGCTAAATTAGTAAAATAAATGACCAAATTACCAGATTACTCACATGAATATAGACATACTCACATTGGGAGGTGGCATAATCACTTTCCTATTGGGCTGAATACGTCCATCATCCAGGAATTTAAAGAGCATTAATTCTGTTTAGAATAAAATGAATATTTCAGTGTGAATGCGCTACTTACATTATTTACACTACAAAATAATATAGAACAGTGCACAAGTATCTAATTTGGGATGGACAAATACTTTACATGGTTGAGCGAGCAGGTCCATAAGTGAATAGTACATAAGTCTATAGTGTGCCATTTGGCCACACTATACACTTAAAAAGTGCATAGTTTGGTAACTAAAATGTCCATAGTGCACATGTTGTTGAATGGACTAGAATAGTGCATTAATATTCATTCATTTTCTTGTCGGCTTAATCCCTTTATTAATCCAGGGTCGCCACAGCGGAATGAACCGCCAACTTATCCAGCAAGTTTTTACGCAGCAGATGCCCTTCCAGCCACAACCCATCTCTGGGAACATCCACACACACTACGGACAATTTAGCCTACTCAATTCACCTGTACAGCATGTCTTTGTACTGTGGGGGAAACCTGAGCACCACGCGAACCACGCAAATGCAGGGAGAACATGCAAACTCCACACAGAACTGAGTCGAGGCTCGAACCAGCGACCCAGCGACCTTTTTGCTGTGAGGCGACAGCACTACCTACTGCACCACTGCTTCGCCTAGTGCATTAATATGCAATTCATAATATAGGTCTTAAATAGCATATATATATTTTAGTTATCATAAGTCTTTAAGTAAAACTTCAGTATTTTTGTACTTATTTAGTTATATAAAAAAGCCTTTAGTTACAAACTTCTGCAGTTTTGAGATACCAATATTAACACTCCAAGTACTAAAATGTGCTTTTTGGTCACCTTTTGAAAAGGTACTGGCCCGGTGACAGCTTTTTATCTTAATTTCTGGATGCATGCCTGTGCGTGTGTGTGTGCATGTGTATGTGTCTGTGGTCCACGGCTCTAGTCTGAGAGGTCAGAGGGGGCAGCTCTGGAAAGCCGCAGGCTTAGGCGTCAGGAAATTAAACATGAAATGTAAACAAACTCCAGCCTGAAACATTCTCCCCTTTCACTTTCTAACATCCTTATTTCCCTTTAGAATTTGAGACTGAAGAAAAGAGAGAAAAAGCTGCATTAGAGAATGATGAAAAAACCTGCTGAGAAATGCTGTAGCAGACATAATTGGGTTAGACACCCATGATTGTGATTTAAAAAAAAAGCTGAATTAACAAACTAACAATTGTGGAATACAAATTGTCAAATGCATGAAATATGTTTCATTTGTCTTAAAAAAAGGAGATCTCTGTTTCTGTGTGGAGTTTGCATGTTCGTGTGGGTTTTCTCTGGGTGCTCCGGGGAATTGGTTAGGCTAAAGTGTCCGTAGTGTGTGAGTGTGAATGAGTGTGTATGGATGTTTCCCAGAGATGGTTGCAGTTGGAAGGACATCCGCTGCGTAAAACATATGCTGGATAAGTTGGTGGTTCATTTCGCTGTGGCGACCACGGATTAATAAAAGGACTAAACCGAAAAGAAAATGAAGGAATGAATGTCTTAAACAAATCTAAAAATATTGAATTGTGAGATATAAACTCTCACTGCTTTGTTGTGAGAAACAATTGCACAAAAATAGATATGAAAAATAATAAAATGTTAGCTCAAGAATTGCAAGATATAAACTCGTAATTGCAATAATAAATTTGTAATTATATTATTTACAATTATATAAAAAAGGGCTGCATAGTGACGCAGTGGGTAGCATGATTGCCTCAAAGCAAGAAGGTCGCTGGTTCGAGCCTAGGCTGGGATAGTTGGCATTTCTGTGTGGAGTTTGCATGTTCCCCCTGCGTTCGTGTGGGTTTGCAAAGACATGTGGTATAGGTGAATTGTGTAAGCTAAATTGTCCTTAGCGTATGTGTGTGAATAAGTGTGTATGGATGTTTCCCAGTGATGGGTTGCAGCTGGAAAGGCATCCGCTGCGTAAAACTTATGCTGGATAAGTTGAGTGAATTATAAAAAATGCAAGATATTAAGTCTCAATTCTGTAATATTACCAACTTCATAGCTTAGCAATTTGTAACGTTTTTATTTATTGGCTAATTCATATGAATTCTATGATATTATTTATAGATTTTAGTACAATTTGCTCATCCCCCTTGACAGTTGGTTTTAGGGGTGGGTTTTAAAAGCCTTGTTTTTAAAATCATACATTTCCATATGGATGACATTGTATGAATTAGACACTTTTTTTTACCAGTACATAAAATAGTTATATTTTCTTAAGATCAGGATGAATATATTGTAAATATGTAATTCTAAAAAAGTAAAAAGTAAAATATATACCTGATATAAATGTTTATGTTAGAAACTTAAAAAGCAGTTTTGACACACACACACACACACACACACACACACACACACACACACACACACACACACACACACACACACACACACACACACACACACACAGACACACACACACACACACACACACACACACACACACACACACACACAAAACTGAATTGCAAGATGTTAACTTGCAGTTGTGTGGAAAAAAAAGATAAATTCTCAAGCTTAGTGAAAATTGAGTAAACTATAACTTTTGATCTCCACTTTGATTTTTGTATAAACATACAGTTGTCATAAAAATAAACAAAACAAAACAGAAAATGAACTGTGAGATGTTCCCTTATATTTGCATATATTTGAATTAAATTCTGAATAGAAATATATGAACAGAATTTTGAGTTATACACTATTTACAATATAATTTACAGTAGACATACTTACAATTGAGGGAATTGAATTACCATATATGATTCTAATTAAAAAAATGCTTGAATTGCAAGAAATAGTCAAAATTGTGAGAAAAAATGTTGCCTACTTTTTTTTATACTTCTTTCAAGCTAAATTCTTTTAAAAGTAACAACATAACAACACATATTATTGCTCATTATCTCTGGTTACACTAATTGTTGTAGACCAAAGAAAAACAATATAAATATCCAGAGGCACAGGATTAAATTGCAGAGATTCTCAAAACAGATGACATGATCATAACGGCACTTGGATATCAAGAGCAGGTCATGACATCGGCCTGAAAGATTTAGTTTCTTTATATAGTGTTATCCACATACAGTAGTTTACAGCTAATTCAAGCAATTTTGAAAGTCAAATAAAGTGCTATTTGAACATTTTATGGTTTCCTGTTCTTGTGACATCAACATGCCCATACTTTTTGCAATCCTGCCATAAGGGGCTCTTGGGGTTTAAGGAAGCTCTAATGTGACTGGATGGAGATTCATCCTACAATCCAAGTTCAATCTCACTGACATTGCCCTTTCAAACAGGCAATAAAACATACGCAAGAATAAATGCTTGTGTGAACACAATATTTAATACCAATATTTATATAAGAACAATATTTATAAAATTAACAACAAATATGAACACTTTTAGAATATTTGTCAAGAAAATAAAATGGTTCTCTGTCATATTTTTAAGTGACAGTTATTGTTATTGTTCAGAGAGAAACAAATTTTCTAAATATGACTTGATTGGAATCTAAAACTTGGAATTTGACTTTCTTTCTTCTGTTAAATATGGAAGATTTTTTAACAGTTTTGGAAAACAATTAATTTCCATAACACTTACAAGTATCAATTCTAGTCACTAGTGACTTATTACCTGCCTACTACTATTGGCTGTTTATTAGGACTGATCTTATTCTACATCACTAATCCCTAATTGAACACCTAAACATAACAACTACTTTGATAAATATTAATAAGCAGCAAATTAGGCAAAAGTCATAATTAATGGTTTATTAATAGTGAGAACTGTACCTTTAAATAAAACGAGAACCATAGTTTCAGTTCCCATTGACTTCCATTGTAATTTGTGGCCATACATTGGAAGTCAGTGGGAACCGAAACTGTTTGGTTTCCAGCATTTCTTCTCTCAAGTTTTAAAGAAAGAAAATCATACAGAAGTTCAAACCTATACAGTTTAAAAACTCAATGCAACCAATTGAGACCAAAATACAACATTGTGTTTCGTAAAAATTGAGAAACCAATAAAAAAAGGATCTTTATTTACTAAATGATGAAATCTGAAAACATATGTTGAGGTCTGCAGGCTGTCTGCTGTGGTTTTAGGGTTGTTGGTTTGTGTCACGGTGCACTAACAGCGGATCATTTTGATTGATGAGGTGGACCTGCTCCAGACACGGGCTGAGAGGAGACACAGGAACAGCTATCAAACCTGTGCTGGCAGGAGAAAGTTCAGATCTCTACATAAATAGTGCAGTGTGGACAGCACATTAAAGTGAGGAGGATGAGGAGCCGTGGCAGGGCTTTCATGTGCCTCACAATTTATGACTTACCATGTGCTTGCTTTTTCACTACTAGTTACTACAGGGGGAATCCAGTCCTCTGTGGAGAGATTTTAGTAATAGTCTTTTTGATGGCAATATAGAAACAGCATGAAGCTTTTACAGTAGAATATACTGTATGTGTTCATGCTAGATCTTGGGCTTTTTTAAATGATCAGATATTTATTTCATTTTTTCTGCAGGTGTGGTTTCAGAATCGCCGGGCAAATGGAGAAAACGAGAACGCTTTGGTCAAATGCAGCAGGTTCGGACACACTTCTCAACAGCCTATGAGCTTCCTCTTCTTACACGGCCAGAAAACTATGCACAGGTAAAGTGGAGCTCACATGTGTTTTAACAGATAGTTTACATGAGTACTTGACATTCATAACAACACGGGTAGACTGGCAACATAATTGCCAGGTTATCACAACAAATCTGGCTCAATAATATCAAAACTCAAATATGCCACTCCCATTAGTAAAATAAATATTTGACATATATGTATTATACACAGTCACACAGTTTCAGAGTTTTTAAAATTAATGTATATTAGTAAATATAAAGATTTTAGTTTCATTAATAAAATACTGTTAATTAATTTTTTTCTGCTGAAAATAAAAAATAAAATAAGCTATTCTGAAGAATGATAGAAACTTATAACCACTGACTTCCATATTAGGAAAAACAAATTCTATCAGTTATTACTGGTTTCCAACATTTTTCAAGATATCTTTTTTTTGTAGTCAAAAGAGACGTGTTTTTTTTTTTTTTTTTGGACAGAGATGGCAAATACAGTTATACTTGACCAAAAGGACTGCTAAAACTGTAAGCTAATTTGTAGCCAAAAAGACAGCATTTTAGGTTTAGGTTTTATTGTGGATTTAAATGTAAATTTTGTCTATTTTTAAAAGTATTGGTTGAGGCACCATTTAGACACTGGTACTGGTACTATTTATACACAGCGTCAGCAAAAAATAAAATAAAAATAAATATAATTAATAAATAGGTTGCTGCATAAAACCATTTAGAAGAAATCGAGCACAAATGAATTAACAAAATTATTAGATAAAAAAATGTCAAAATGAATAAAACCGTTTCCTTAATGTTTTTGAAATGCACACGAATATCCATAAATGACTGATTTAATTTAATATGTTTTGCATTTATTTTCCCAGGTTTTTTATTATTTTTTTTTTCTAGAAATTTGTATTTGAATATGCAGCAACTATAGTTGCTGGTGGGCTAATATGTTGTATGCACCTTTCAATATACAATTTAAATAGGAGGAGAACATTTGGCATTAAGACAACAGATTTCAACAGCTCAATTTATATTCATAAACTAATTTCTTATATTTAAAATTAGTGTTGTGTCTTAAATTGTGTAATAAAAGTATCCTATAATTCAAAGACATTAAGTTAATAAGTTATTTTTAAAAAAGATACTTTGCAAAAAACATCAAACAAGACCAATAACCTTAATTTCTTAACTATTCCCTAATTTCCCATGTTTTATGTACTTACAAAGGAAATTTGCCCACCAGCAACCATAGTTCATGAATCTAGAGACTTTTATGATTATGTTCATATATATATATATATATATATATATATATATATATATATATATATATATATATATATATATATATATATATATATATATACATATTTTTTTTACGTGAAATTTGCAATTATTTAGAAGGGTTTGCCTCCATTTTTTATCCTGGAATTAGGGGTAGGAAGTTAAGAGCCTCACATGACAGAAAGGAAATCAATTGTTTTTTATTTCTTGAATCTTTTATTTCGTTGTTTTCTTGCATGCCATTAAGAAATTAAACATCGATAACATGTCGAAAATTACTTATAAAAGGAAAATGGCAACTATGAGCTTTGGCCATTATAGTTGCCGGTGGGTTTAAATGGGTTAAAATAAAACCCATATAGTTACAGTACTGACTTTTTCTAAATACATTTTATTCTATCATTGTTATTTTATTAAAATTGCATAACACAATTAGTTCTGAACATTTTAAACTTGAACGGTCATAATGGTCAAATTGATCTCATGCATTTCACTAGTCCACTATATTTGTTCTTGTGCCTTTGAGTAAGTGTGTTCTGTTGCCTAGCAACTTCCTGCTGAAAAAAAAAAAACATTTTTACAACATTTCACTTAATGGACGAAGTGATGTACACACCTTTGGTAGCAGTCTAGTAACTAACTGGCAAAGATTGCTAGAGGCGAAATGGTTGTGCCCAACTGAGCCTGGTTTCTCTCAAGTTTTTTTTTTCCTTCACTTTTGCCAATTGGTGAAGTTTTGTTTCTTGCTGCTGTCGCCTCTGGCTTGCATGGTTCTGGACTTGTGGAGCTGTGCATCGAGGGATTTGCTCTTCAGTGTTTGGACTCTCAGCAGTGAGAATTAACCCAAACTGAACAAAACTGAACTGAAGTTAAACTCTGAAAACTGGACCGACACAGTTTCAGTTAACTATAATCTTCCATACGAAGCTGCATTGACACAATCTACATTGTAAAAGCGCTGTAGAAATATAGGTGAATTGGATTGAATTGAATTTCTATGCCTCATGTTTTGCCCTTGCGCAGCGTAAGCTCGCAGTTAAAAAAAAAAAGATGTCAACTATGAGCGGAAAAAGCATGTTATGTCAGTTGAGTCTTTTTCATTCTCCAATCAAGTG